CTAGCTACTCAGGAGGTTGAGATCTGTGGATCACAGTTCAAAGCCAGCCCAGGCAGGAAACTCCATGAGACTCTTGTCTCCAATATACCACTACAAAACCAGAAATGGTGCTGTAGCTCAAGCAGTAGAGTGCTCGCCTTGAGCTGAAGAGTGAAGGTACAGCGCCCAGGCTCAGAGTTCAAGCCTCACGACCAACCAAAAAAAAAGAAAGAAAGAAAGAAAAATAAAAAATGATGGTAAGTCCCTTTCCTAGAATTTGAGTGGCGAATCCATTGTCTTTGCAGGAAGTATGTGTGTGTGTGTGTGTGTGTGTGTGTGTGTGCGCGCGCGTGCTTGTGAATCCTGGGGCTTGAACTCAGGGCCTAGGTACTGTCCCTGAGCTTAGTTTTGATCAAGGCTGGTGCTCTGTCACTTGAGCCACAGCTCCATTTCTGGCTTGTTGTTGTTGTGGTTGTTAGTTTACTAGAGATGAGTTTCATAGACTTTCGTGCCCCAGCTGACATTGACTTTTGGATGTCAGCCTCCTAAGTAGCTAGCATGAGGCACCGGCACCTGGCTCCAGTATAGTTGGTTTGACCTGGGTTTTCAGGCCAGATCTAGTTGTCTATTCTGGATCTAGGACCTAAGGCCACTTGTAGCCTATGGAGGTAACATGGAGTTCAGCTTCCTTCGTCTTTTTTTTTGGGGGGGGGCCTGGTCATTGGGCCTGAACTCTGGGCCTGGACGCTGTCCCTCAGCTCTTCAGCTCAAGGCTAGTGCTCTACCACTTGAGCCACAGCGCCACTTCCGGCTTTTTTCTTTTTGCTCATGTGGTGCTGAGGAATTGAACCCAGGGCCTCAAGCATGCAAGGCAAGCACTCTACCACTGAACCATCTTCCCAGCCCTTCCTTCCATCTTTAGTGGTAAGAACTAGCAGGTGGGCTTCTGGATTGAGCTGCCTATCTATGTTGACTGCTTTTGCCGGTGTTTGTGGCCTTGCTCACTGTTCTGTTTCTCCTCCTCCCAGGCAACTCCTGTATGTGCTCTGTGCACTTTGTCCAAGAAGACTGAGTTGGGGTGCTGTCTGCAGAGCTGAGGTGGTGGCTGAAGTGGGGTGGGATCTAGAGGCATGGCAAGGCAGGGCAGAGGTAGGGGCAGAGGCAGGGCAGGGCAGGGCAGGGGTAAAGGCAAGACAGAAAAAAAAGAATGCAACAAATAGGTCTGAGTCATTTAAAATACAATTGTAGGTTTGCACAAGTCACTCTATTTACTCATGAGAGAAAGGCTGGGGTACCTCACTGGCCATAGACCTGGCCATAGACTGCCTGAGGACACCCTAAAGTCAGAGCACTCAATCTCAGAGCAAACAGAATTATGTTTGGGGGCAGCCTCTTCATGGTCCTCTTCCACTGGAGGGAGGGGCTGAGTGACTGGCTCCACACAGTGTCTCTATCTCTGTTGACTTCTCAGTTCTCACAAGTTCTTAGGTCGCATGGCACAGACTCTGTGCTTGGGCTTGGTGGTAGTCCTCCCCCTCTAGCACTGCCCAGAATGGAGGCGCTCTGGCCTCTGTCCTTGACTAAGCATTCTTTCAGTGCCAGCTCCAATAGGAGGGAGGGGCTGTGAGCTCAACACCATGACCTCAGCAGCCTCTGAATTTCCCCATGCCTATTTCTAGTTCCCACAATTTGCAGGTCATCTGTTCCCTAGGATTCCAAGAACTCACCATCCCCCCACCTTCCCCCAACACACACACCTCCAGCCCCATAGCCTAGATATCACTGATCCATGTTTCTGTACTGATTGGGCGAGGATGAGAGTGCTGCGCATAGTTGTGTGACTCTGGTCACAGTACCTCCCTGCCATTAACTATGCTCCTCCCACTTAGTTCCTTGTTTCCCTTGTACACAGTGGAAGGCAGGACAGGGCTGGCCCACCCTTTTTTCCAGAGTCCAGGCACAGGTGGGCACAGGTGCTAGGTCCTCCTTGTTATACATTCTCCTAGGGCTTCCCATAGTCCAGCCAAATACCTCGCCCTAGGACATTTTGGACACAAAGTGCGTCACCTGCAATCGCTGATTGTATACTTGTATTACCAAGAGAATGTCCATCCCTTCAAAGTCTGCTAATTCCTCCAGAGTCCCTTGTCAACTTGCTGATGGGAAGTAGCCCAGGAAAGAAATTGATTGACTTTGGGAGAAACTTTGTGTGCTGATTCTTGGGCTTGAATTCCCAGCCTGGGTGCTGTCCCTGAGTTTCTTTTACTCAAGGTTAATGCTCTAGCACTCAAATCACAAATCCACTTCTGGCTTTTTTGGTAGTTTATAGTGGATGAGTCCCAGTGAGTTTTCCTGCCTGGGCTGGCTTTGAATCACCATCCTCAGATCTTAAGTCTCCTGAGTAGCTAGGATTACAGGCATGAGCCACTGATGCCTGGCAAGTAGGAGACAAATTTAAGACTCAGATATGTCACAACAGGAAGTTGTCAGGGGTCAGCTTGGGTTCATCAGTGGACCTGATCATGATGGGTCTTTGTGGAATATTAGGGTCATAGTTTACACTGGGGGTGGGCAGAAATGGAGGGTTTTTTTTTCCAGTGTGCAATGAACGTTTGTGCAGTGTATTTTCTCCTGAAACACAGTCTTCCTATGTAGCCTAAGCTGGACTCCAACCCAAGATCCCCTTACTTCAGCCTCCAAAATGCGGGGATGACAGGCCCCACACCTAGCCGTCAAATCTAATTCTTCAAATATTGTTCAGTTAAATTTTATAAATGGCATTTTGTGCCTTCATTTTCTTTACATTTATCAAACAAGTCTTAGAATATACTAATGATGGCTTCGACCTAGAGTTTGAAATATACCCAGAAAATTCAAGCCACTGGAATTTGTATCTTATTCAACACTCGTGTTCAATAAAATCTTAGGAGGAGCCTTCCTTAAGGGCTAAGAAGTGAGGGAATTTAATAAGAAAGGTTGAGAAGTTTCTACAGAGAGGATTCTGTGATGACAGAGGAGACCAGGTATTCCCTGCACCCAAACCAAATACAGGACAATGCCCTCCAAGGGAAGCAGCTTAGCAGGGCTTGTGGAAGACACTGCTTTGTGGAGGCTTATATCTGAGTCCCAAGGACAGGACCCTGGAGATTGTGGTTAGCACCTCACCCTAACCCCAACACACACACACACACACACACAACAAACAAACCAAAACAACCAAACCAGAATCAGAATCAAGTCAATGGCTTTTATTATGATGCAGTAACATAATAAAAAAAGGACTGTGATAAATAGGCTAAGAGTTGAATGAAAAACATAACCAACTATTTACACATGTGAGCAGGGCACCCCCACATCAGGCACAGCAGCTGCACTTCTCAGTTGCTCCTTTGCACACACAGCCCTGGGCACACTTGGCACAGCCCACCGGGCAGCAGGAGCAGCAGCCTGGGGAGGGAACGGGAGGGAGAGTGAGAGGTAGAGCAGAATAACCAGCCCCTCCCAACCCAGCACTGCCTGCTTAGAGACCTGTCCTCTGCACTGGAGAATTTAAGATTTTCTCAACAATATGAATATATGGCTTTCTTCTAAGACAACTGGAGGTTCCCTATGGGATCATTTCCAAATGCAGAAAGGCTTGGGGGCTCAGGGCAATGCAGAGAGCCTAGATGGGGCAGCAGGGCCTCAAAGGGCAAAGGACAGCCGGTTCCCCCTCGTGTGTGCGTGTATGCGTGCGTGTGCATACACACACACACAGTGTCCCTTCCACATGGCACAACCCCCAGATCTACAGGCACAGCCCCAACTCACTCTTCTTGCAGGAGGTGCATTTGCACTCTTTGCACTTGCAGGAGCCAGCGCAGGTGCACGAGCCGCCTGGGGAAAGAAGAGACAGACAGCAGTGAGCGCCGGGGACAGACGTGCAGACACAAGAGCAATCAGTCAACCTGCAGCCAGGGCCGTCCAGCACCCCACTCGATAATCTTCCTAACGACCGAAGCTGAACCCCACTTCTTTCACAGGTTACCAGGCCCCGCCGTCGGGGGCCTGTGCGGAAGGTGTGGACGCACCAGCCGCGGGGAAAGGGCGTCGCAAGGGAAGGGAGAGGGGCTCCTAGGAACGCCCCCAGCCGGCCTCGCAGCCCGGGGTAGCGGCTCCTACCAGCGGCGCAGGCGCAGTTGGGGTCCATGGAGAGCTCGGTGGAGGGGAGACGAGCGACGCGATGAATGGAGCGGGTAGAGGCTGCGAGAAGGCGCGATGTGGCCCTGCGCGCGGCCCGCGTGTTTATAGTCGGGGCTCGGCCCGTGCGCAGAGGTCTGCGCCCGGCCCCGGGTCTCGGCGGGAGCTTGTGCGCGCGGGCGGCTGGGGAGCCACGTGCAGAACCTCCCCGAGGGCGGGGCGGTGAGGAGCGCGCGCCCCCCTCCTCCTCCGGGCCCGCACCCCGCTTTCCAATGCCTGCGCCTTTGCGTTCATCCCCGCATAGGAGTTTTCAGAACCCCATCCTTCCGCTGGCCCAACCTCAGTCCCGCACCGCGGTGTTGCTAGCTTTGCCTGAGCTCCTGTTTTGGGGAGCTGTGCGCACAGGGCTGCCCCCCCACCGCGGCACCGTGCACGCCCCGGCCTTGCCCTGCCGTCCCCACCTCGTTTCTTGCTCTGTGTGCTCGGAGTGTGCGTGGTTCTGGGACTGTGTTCCACCCCCCACCCCGCGGTAGCTGCCCCGCCCCCAGAAACGGAGCCGGAATTCTCAGCTCCACGCAGCTATTGATAAAAGGCAACCCGGCGCGGGGACTCAGGCCTGCAATCCAAGCTGAGGATCGCTGCCCGAGGCCAGCCCAGAAAGTGAAGTCTGTGAGACTCTTATCTCCAATGAACCACCAAAAACTAAAAAATAACCCAGAGTGGAGCTGTGGTTCCAGTGGGCGAGCACCAGCCTTGAGCAAAAAAGCTCCGGGGCAGCGTCCGGGCCCTGAATTCAAGTCCCGGGACCCAACCACAGCAATCGAGAGACAGCTAAAGCGGGGATGAATGCAGGAGCCCGGCTCGAGGTCACTTCCAATCAGGATCGTGTCCAGGACCAGCCCAGCGTTTGCGGGACGGTGGGGGAGGGTGAGGGGGGG